TCTTTTTTTTCAAACTAGGTGCTTGATGAAATCTGATAGTGTATGTGGTCCTGGTCTCTCAGGGCCCGTCTGGAGCCTTATTGCCTGTCTGAGTTCAAATGAGCCTCCTATCTGCCACCTTGGAGATAGAGAGCAAAGCCACTTATCTCAGAAATGTTGCAGCATGTGGCATTTTCATGGATGACGGCGGTGACAGTGTCCATCATTCTGGACGCTGACAATCATCCACGTCAATACAACTGGCTGACAAAGGCGCCTGACAGTGTGTGTCAGGATGTTAACATTGGAGGACGGGAAAACGGATCTCACACACAGTGTCAGGTGTCAGTCAGTGTGGATGAGGCTTTTTCAGAAAGTTAATTTGATTTAAATGATTCAATCTTTTATTCCTCATTGTAGTTATTTATATACAGAAATACACAAATGCAAAATAAAATTGATACCATTTTAAATTTAGAATTTTACATAATAATGCTTCACTTGTTGTTGTTTTATTTCATCCAAAACTCATTTAAATTTTACACCAGTTTCTACTACAACATACTGGGTCTTTATTTCCCTGGTAAACAGTTGCAAACACAAATTTCCAGATGCCTGCAAAATAAAATAAAAAGGAAAAATACCGGCAGACGACAGACACCCGATGGATACACTTTGGTGGGCCAATAAAAAAAGAGTTGGAGGATTCTGTAGTTTAATGTTTTTACATTCTCTACATGTAGGTCTGACACACCAATAAATATTTTTTTTTTTTTTACTTTTCCTGCCTGTTCATCCACCTCACATTCATATATACTAAATAACAGCAAATGAAGAATTTAAATTTAAATGAAATCTGCCTTTATCCATTTGGGCACAGTTCTGGGAAACACTAAAACGGTGAAGTGCCTTGAGTCACAGTAAAATTGCCTCATAGTGCAGCTTTCACAACTCCACAGGGTACCACAACAAATTTCATTTCATCTCACTCTGCTCATTAATTGAGTGAGAGGTGGTGAAAATGGGAATTAGGAGCCGTGTTAGAGGAGCAGGTGTAGCTGTGTCAGCTTGTGATTCACTGCAAACCACGGTATGAATTAAAGTCAGGCTGTTGTTTTTGTTTTTGTTTTTTTAATCCCAGGTCTGGACAACATCCAGAGGATTTCTGCTCAGGGACGCTATGAGCTGAGGATCGACATGAAGGACGGACAGGAGTCAGTTTACGCCAACTATGACAAATTCTCCATCGGGGATGCTAAAAATCTGTACAAGCTCAGGATAGGAGAGTACAACGGAACCGCTGGTACGTGATTGGTTGGTGTTTAATGTCTTTTTTACGTTGCTTTCCTTGGTTTGTTTCCTGGTTGAACCTTACTGGTTTGTGGCCTTGATTACAAGTCCGAATTTGCAATATTTCCAACACATACATCAGGTACGATGCTTGGCTAATTTGCATTTCACATGGCCGCGTGATGAAACCCTCTGTACCCACACTCTCACTGTGCACATGCAGCCAGAGAGGCCAGTCATCCGTCCATGATTTCTCTCAGCCTTTGAGTAAAAATGCTCACACATCTCAGCTCTGCCATCTGCCACTTTCTTCTCCTGCCTCCTTTTCTCTCCATCTTTTTCCTCCTCCCTGCCTGAGAGCTGCTGCACCCTCTCCTCCCCTCCTCCCTCCCCATGTGTCTCTCGTCTGTCTGTCAACAAGCCCATATGGCAGAATTACCTGTCATCTCCTCCATGTTTGTAATTAGAGTTCTCTCTGCCTAGATAAATTCGCCGAAGTTGCGGCATCACCTCGGTCCTCAGAAGTCTCCCTCCCTCCCCACCTCACCCGTCACCTCCCTTCACCTCGGCTCCCTGATCATTTATGTTCCCCTGATTACACCGTTGCCCAGCATAGATGTTTACATCTCTCTCTCTTCTTCTTCTCTCTCTCCCTTTCCCTTCCCTTTTCTCTCTCTTCATTTGAACTCAGGTGATTCTCTGAGCTACCACCAGGGGCGACCTTTCTCCACCAAAGACAGAGATAATGACATCGCTGTCACTAACTGTGCCTTGTCTTACAAAGGAGCTTGGTGGTACAAGAACTGCCACCGAGCCAACCTCAACGGGAAGTACGGAGAATCCAGACACAGCCAGGTCAGTCATGTCCTGTGGACCGCCACAGACCACCGCTGCGTTTTAACTGATCTTTGCCTTAATGTTTGTTTAAAACCCCAATTCCCAACAGTGTGATGAGTACAACTAAAGATGAGGTTTTCATTTCCTTTGGTCTTGTCTGACTCTGTATTACAACCCCTGAGCCACAGTTGCTTTGTTGAAGAAACTTTAAAGGGATTGTCCGTGAATGTTTCATTTAAAAGGGTTTGAAATGCAATTCACTTGCAACACAAGCAGTGATGAAAAGTGGGTGCTGCATTCTAGCTGAGATGGATGGATGGATGGATGGATGGGTGGGTGGATGGATGGATGGATGGATAGATAGATAGATAGATAGATAGATAGATAGATAGATAGATAGATAGGTTGACACAGAATGGTCAAATAATGATTAAAAAACAATGAAAATTAATAAATAACATAGTATTGCTTCATGTTTCCTTCAGTCAGTTTGGGTAGATGTTAAAAGTTTGCCCTGTTTGTGTGATGTGGCTCTGTCACAGGAAGTGAAAACAAAGTGAGGTGTTGTGTGGAGCTGTGATTAGGCTGAACTACAAAGACTTCTCTGCTCTGCGCCTTTCTCTTCATGTTTGATAACACGGAATAAGACAAATTAAAACACGGATGGATGGGAATGAAGGCACGTCAGGAGAAACTGTCACTCAGCGCAAAGCTTCAAAGAGCAGAGGGTTTTTTTTGACGACGGCAGGATCACAGGGCTGGAGTGAGACGATAATTGCACTAAGTTCATATTGCGCACTTTCTTCAGTCAGGATTTCTGCTTTGACTGCACCAAAAATAAAAACCCCTCAATCTTCTGATGATTATTGTACATTTTCCATCATTTTCAAACCTCATCTTCAAAGCACCACTTATTTAAGACCCTGTGGTAAATGGTTCTTCACTCTTGCAGGGCATCAACTGGTACCACTGGAAAGGCCACGAGTTCTCCATCCCCTTTGTGGAGATGAAGATGAGGCCATTCAACTACCGCAGCATCAGCAGCAAGAGGAGGCGGTCTGCTCCTGTATAAACACGCAAACAAACTCTCCTTCTGCTCCTTCTGCTCCTCCTCTTCTTTCCTACCAACGGTCTGGATAAATGCAGTTCAGACAGTGTTTTGTAATCAGTTCCTCTCAGTGTCTCCCTGAGAGCACAGACACCTTGTAATGTCACAGTTTGAAAGCTCTATTTGTGGGGAAGGAATACAAAACAAAAAAAAATACTAACATTTTATTAACATTCATTAAAAATACTACCAATGTTCACAAACAGTTACGAGCATGAAAGGGTGGAAAAACAACGTCCGAATATTGTTTATCTTTGAATCTGTTGGCTGTCTGTTCCTGCTGTACTTCTACCTAGACAATAGGGGACGCTGTGTGTAATTTATTCAATACTTAGAAGGACAATGGTTTCATTTGCTGTAAAGATGGAAAGGGAGAACTTTTTCTTTCCTCTGGGTTTGTGGTTTGCCTTCACCCAGAGGTGTAAAGACAGCTGTTCAAAAGAGTTAGCATTATTTTCAGTCTTTATGAAATAACAACACTTTTACTGAAAAGTAAACTATATGCCATTAAAACTCTCAATTGTAAAATATATATTTTTATAACTGATAATGTGACTTAAGTCTCGTATTGGTCTACTTATTATAATTTGAAGCAGTTTTTTAAGCCCGTAATCAGTTCATCTGGACATAGAAAAAAAAAACAAAAAACATTAGCACACTGCAAGCGATGCACCAGCAACAGCTTTACTCATCCTTTTTTTTCATTTCACTAATATCTAATTGTTAATTATTAGTCACAAGGGGGCATCATTTGCACTACAAGTGGGAAACGCAGCTAAAACGTTTGTTCTTTCACTTCACTCCGTTCACTCACCTGTTTGTTTGCATTTATTATGACTTTCAAACAAACCAAGACTTCACACCTGTTCCACTCCTGTTGTAGATGCTGTGATCGCCTGCAGCGACGGTGTTGATAGATCTGTGTCTGATCGCCTGCAGCGACGGTGTTGATAGATGTGATGTTTTTTAAGTGCATCTGCTGGTTGGAGAGATGCCAGTCAAGTCACTGCAGCAGCAGCTTCTCGCCTCTCTTTCTTCTGCTAATAGATTCTCACTTTTCACAGACTATTATGGTAATACTGTCCCCCAGGCGTTGGTTTTTATGCAATGTGAACAGTCAATTCTACGCGGAGTGGAAGTCGTGGTGGGCATACTGCAGGTTCTCGCCAATGTGACTGTAGCCAGTTTAGGGAAACACAGCAGTGGGTGGAGGGAGGCCAAGGCTTTGACTTTTGCTGCTTAACCTTCTCAGTGTTACAACATAATCAGCAAATGTGGCAAAGAATGTATTGTTTTAATCTGCAGTAGCCTACTGCCCACCAAGGGACTGTAATTCAGTTTTCACATTGTGTTTCTTAGGTACAAAGACTATTAATTTTTCAGTTTAAACGCCATAAGTCGGAATAATGAAAGACTAATGAAAGAATGAAAGATAATAAAGACTTTTTCCTAAATTTATTGGAGATGGCGACGTAACCACGCAACGCTGTAAATCGAGGACGTCGTAAACCGAGTAAAGGTTTACGATGTTGTAGTTAACATTGACTCTGTCTGTTTTCTGTAGTGCACCACTGGGTACACTGTTCCACTGCACTATGTGGATGAAATAACATTAGACTGAATTAGCTGAGCCTGAATTGAGCCATGTTTTTTCTTCAGTATTCTGTCGTAGTTCAGTCACAGTTTTCATATACTGGATGTTTTAGTCACTGTCGTACCTTCATACCTCTCATATAACAAAACCAGCAACTTCTCTCATACGACGGTTGTTTTTTAGGTTTAGTTAAAAACAGCAGTATAAACACACTCTTGTAGATAAAGGTGGTGATATTGTGCCATTTAACTCATTCATTAACACTGTACCATCATTTCCTTCTAGCCACTGTTTTTAGCCATCCTCGTGCTGAAGGTTGGGGGCGCCCCACTGCATGTCGACTCAAATGCATTCTAGAGTCTAATAGTAAGTGACATTAAACTTTGTTTTTTTCTTTTAATGTGTAGCAAAACATTTTTCAAGTTGCTCTTGAAATGGTTTTGTGAGCGAGGAGATGCAGGTGAACTGGCCAGGCCTCGGGGTTCAGTGTGAGACAAAGTAAAAACAATTAACACTGACAAGAGTTCGATTTAAATTTTACTTTCACAGTGACTTCTTCTGCTGTCCCACAGTCAGGTCATTCTCTGTGTTTCATTAATGACAAAGATGAAGTTTTTGCCTCTGTGTATTTTTGTAGCTAGAACAAAGATTACAGGGTTTTGCAGAGAGGAAACAGTGTCATTTGCATGGTGGGGAATTTTTTGTACATGGCAAAAAAAAGTGCGGTGCTGATGTTAGTTTGTTTTTTACATACACATTATTCAAATCATTCTTTAAGCTGTTTCTATCAATAACTGGAAAACCATGGTTTTCATGCTGTGAAAAGAAGTACTTGCATTTGTTGGTGTATGTATTATTTGTTATGACTAAAAATAATTTTAAGCCAATCAGTTTATTTATAAAGCAATAGTTTCCTCACACAAGTACTGAGGAAATATGAACATGATTGCAGTTTTAAATTCAGAGAATGTGAATAAGACCTTAAGCCAAACCTCAGACTGTTGAAATGGGTTCCATCAACATTTTATTGCATCAATACTTTTCCTAACACAAGCCAACTGAGTGAAACATTTACAAGAAAAAAAACAAAACATTTAATTATATATATATATATATATACACGTCATTTTAAATATGATGTTGCAGTTGAGCCTCGCATTCAGCCTCACTCCCAAAAAAAAAAAACCTACATTATTTATTCCTTACTTATCAAGCTTGTCCCAGCAGAGCGGACAATTTCAGCTCTTGATTATTTGTTTTGCTGGAGTTTATACTGGAACCACCATGTAAAGATTAAAGGTTAGCAAAGACACCGGATCGTCTGTGGAATCTGGGAAAAAAAATAAAGTCTGTGGGTACACTTTTACAACTGGATTAACAGCTACTTCGTTACACAAGCCAAGTCGATGCTACTGTCATTTGAAGTCTTGAAGTGGAAAAAAATGTAAATGAAAATGTGATCTTGACTGTTCGGAAGCTCTTAAATGTGGATTTGTTGTCGGATAACCCTGGATATTACTGTCAGACTTAGATCTAGTTTGAAAATGTACTATATTGTTCCTTTTTTATTACATTTTCTACATATTAATAAAATATTAAAATAGTCACACTTGGTGTGTTCTGCTCCTCGTGTTCTTTAGTGACAGTGACTGTTCATTAGGATGGCTTCCTAATGGCCCTCAGAACTGTGCAGAAAGATCTAAAGTGATCTGGATTTCCATGGTGCAGATTATAAATTCTCTGGCACTCGTTTAATGAAGTTGTATCATTGTTGGCATTTTAAACTGTGTTTATCCATGTACCAAACATCTTCCTCTTTTCCAGGAGCGGTGGCTGGAGCTGATGTTAGCTCTTTCATGGATTGTTCAAGTATGTAGTACTTTGAAAAACTATGGTTTTATTTACTTTTTTTCTCTCTTCTTCTTCTTCTTCTTTGGGTTCGTGGTCTGTTTTTTCCCAGAGGTGTAAGGTCAGGACTGTGCACAGCTCCGACCCTGCACCAGCAACAGCTTCATTGTCTTCTTTGTTTTCACTTCACATTTAAATATATATATATATATATATATATATAATGTATCTCCTCCTCANTGTGCAGAGCTCCCCCTCCGCGAGCGACAGCTTTTTTGTCTTTTCTTTGTTCTCTCCACATATATATATATATATATATATATATATATATTGTATGTCCTCTTCACTTCTCTCTTCCACCTGTTTGTGTGCATTTAATATGATGTTGATGAAGTCACCAACACCTAACCTTCACACTTCTCTCAAGGTCTCTTTTCAGCCAATCGCAGCCGACATCAGGCAAGTGTGTCACCGAACACTTCACCACTTTCGTTTCCACGTCCATCCATCCGTCAATTTATTCTTTCATTCTCTACAGACTGGTGTTAACCCTTTACAGGGCCTCAACACTCGGACTCAAACCTATCAACATCCTGGACGTTCCAGGATAAAATTTCAGAGTCCAAACAGCAGGACTATCAGTAACTACTGAAGCTTTAATCATCGTCCTACAGGTAAGAGCTGAAGTGTGCCAGTCATCAGTCAATGTTTTCGCATCAGAAATGTAGTTAAAACAACACTGACTCCCGTTAAAAGATGAAAATCAGGTTTTAATAAGGTCTTGCAGTGAGAAAATGATCACTGTCTGATACGTTTAAAAAATACTAGTCTATGTTCATTTATGACAAAAATAAAATATTGTAGCCTGTTGGATTACAAGGAAAAGAATTTCCGTGAGTTGTGTTGATCAGAAATGTTGCACAATGACTTCAGACAGTCACACCTTTCACTTCCTCTGTGTTCCTCGGTTCAAGGAAGAGAGCACTTCTATTTTGCTATTTAAGTTTCTCAAGTTCGTAGTACAAAAAACACACTGTTTTCAGTTTAGATTTTATCTCAGATATCCAGAACTTATCGTAGTAATTGTGTTATTGCTGTGTATTCTTATTACTACATTAATATCCATTTGGAATGTGGTCGGCACAAATAACACGGTACATAATGAGGCTGAACATATTAAAATCAGGCAAATAAATGAGCGGAACAGTGTTAGTTTTAAACTAAAGGTCACAGAAATGAGTCTTCAGCCAAACAAAAACACAAACCCAGCTGTGTCATTAGTTTAATTTGGTGTTTTTCATTAGGCCCGCTGCTCTAAAAGCTTAATTCAAATGTTAGGATGTTATGATTGCATGTAAATGTGCAGTTAGTCAAACTGGAAAAGATGTCATTTCAGGAGAATGTTCAGCAGCAACTTTTAGATTATCCAAATTATTTCTTCTCGACTGAGGCAGACATTTTGAGATGCTGTTCCTCCCGTAGAGACATATTCACACTTGGCCTCTACTTCATGTCAACACACTCAAAGTTCTTGGCTCGTAGTCATATGGCAACATTTTGTTTGTGCCTTTTTCAATTACTTTTTTTGCATAGAAATTAATGAATATTACAATAGAAGGAAATCTCTGGTTGTGGGAGAAGCTTGGTGCAAGGACTGGACTAAAAATAACTGCCGGAGCAAACAGTAATTAATGATCGTCTGTGAAAAGACCACAGACACTGGAGGTTTATTCATTAAGACTAAATGAAAAAGAAAGAGTACAAAGCCTTTTCCAAGGTACAACATTAAAATGAGTGTGAAGCTTTTTCTGTAACCTTAATTTCACAGTATTAAATTGAGTATCAGACCCTGTGATGGGCTTGTAAAAGGTGGATCAATGTTTTTGCTTTAGATCATCCTGTCCTATTTAACTCTTTTTTAATTAGCGGGCAGAAAATTAGATTAAACATTCTACCAGAGATGTCTGTCCTGCTACGTCCAATACCATCCCAGTCTATCATATCATATTTAGTCCTCTCCTGTCTTATCTTATCTATTTTATGCTCCTGTTAATGAGTTCCTCTCCTCTTTGTCTGTGAAACACCAGACGTCCATAATATTTTGTGAAGCGTTCTTCTCTCACTTCACAAACCCTCCTTTGCTTTTTTTCTCCATCTGGTATTTCCCAGCTCCCCTTCACCCTACCCCAGCTCCCAGTATCTTCACCTCCCTCCACAGAGGTGAGCTCAGAGCCGGCGATGGGGTGAACTTGATGAAAAGCGGCGTTGTGAGCCATCCTCAGGTCTCTTTATATCTCACTGAATCCAGAAAGTTAACCGGCTGTGGCAGGCATCTGAACAGAAGGGAGGAGCCAGGCAGATTCTCTCCACTTAGGCTCTCTTCGTGATTGCATCGTAAATACGTGAGTTTAATTGGGCAAGCGGCCAGTGAACAGCTTGATTTTCATCCTGCATTTATCAAGGCTCAAACTGCAGGAGTTGCAGAGTGAGAGTCTGCGCTGAGCTTCATAAATCATCGATATCAGGAAGACGTGATGAGTCGATCCTACCGAGTGGGTAGGATGAGCGTTTTGTTCCACGTGAGGTGTTTCTTTATTGTTTGTTTCCTGTAATTAGAGGATCAGGAGTGATGAGGAGGAAAACACCTATTATTGAACCAATGGTTCTAAGCAGTCATTAGGCTTCCTGTCAGTCTTCAACACATGCAATTAATACAGAACTGGAGGACTGCTTAATGACTCTGCTATTCTCCTTAGTAACTAATAATCACTGTTAATTGAGTCCTACTGTTGTTTGTCATGGAGTGAAAACTTCAGCAGTTTCAACCCGTGCCTGTGGTTCAGTGGTTATGATTGGGTTTTTAATTGGAGGGTCGATGATCGTCAGTTCAAATTTGTTTGGTTTGTTGAGCAAACACCAAAACTGACGACACGTTTCTGTGTCTGATGTTATTCTGGCGTCTTCAGTGCAGATGGACAATACTTTCAGGAGATTAGTAGTAGTAACTAGTAAATAGTAACTAATATAAAGGAATATGTGGTTTACAATGGACGGATAGATAGAACATCTGAAGATTAATTCCAGAGTTTGCTAAAGTATTTTTGGTTCATGATGGTAAAAATAAGGCAGACTGCCTTTTCTTACCTGCCTTAATAAAGTGCCAAAACGATGGAATAATGACTTAAAAATCTAACTTTTTAAAAGGTCAAATTATTGAGCTTAGACATAAATAAATGCAACTTTTTCTTTAATAATCTGCAAGCATGAAAATGGTTGTTAACCAAACAAAATGTTAAAAAAGTCTGATTGTTCCTCTCATATCTAAACAGCTGTGAAACTAAAGTAGTGAAGAAGATTCAGTGGCCAAACCAGTGACCACATCATGTCATTCTACTATCAGACATGTTTTACAGGAACTACAAAAGGCAGTGTTTGTAAAAGATAAAGAGTCTAGTTGAGGAGCAAAGTATTTTGACTCTGTTTGCTTTCGAATGCCTCAGACGATCAGGCGGTATCATGAATTGTGCTCGTCTAAATGTTCTTTAGTCCACCTGTCAGAGAAGATAAATGCAATGACACACGTAAACTGTGCAAGGGAAGTAGATATCTGTTTGCCAAGGTGATCACACGCAAAAAAAAAAAAAAAGACACAGTCTGTGTGTATATATATATATATATATATATATATATATTAACTGTATGTCTTGTCTAGTGTTCAGGTGGCTTCTTAGTTCAAATGAAAACATTCTTAAATAAAAAAATTTTCACGTTCAGATATTCATTTACATGTGAGACTCACTTGTGGTTGTTTGCTCTGGACCGCCCTGTACTAATTGTTTCCTTCTGTTACTAGGTTGTGTGCACAGCCATTGCAAGTTTTATTGTGCTTAGTAGCTGCTGGCTGACTCCAGCTCCATGCTGTCTTTAGAGAAATGAGAGTCGTATTCTTCTTCCAACTCTTAGAAAAGAAACACACAATTTCCCAGACTCTCATTTTGCTCCCTCTGTGTTTGGGGAGGGGAGGGGAGGGGGGTAAGTCAAGAGGAATGTAGAAAGTCCCCACTGATTAAAAATTGGCTTTGAGAGAAAACATCACTGCAAGTTGACAACATCACTCTTTTAAAACCGAGAGCAAACATCTGTTCCTCACAAACTGGGAGTAAAAAAAACAAAACAATTTTAAACAAGTCATTGTGTAAGTATGCTGAGATTATTACAAAATTATACGTTGAAGGAGCACAGTGTAGCCTCACTGCTGGAAAGAGTAATTAGGTGTGCTGGCAAAAACCATATGCCTGTGCGCCAACCATGCAGTTTTTTTTTAGCTCTAGATGCAATACCTTATATAGACAAACGTCTTTCTCCATGGTGCCTGTTTTCAAAGCACTGCACCCAAACATGTACCAGGGCTGAATCACAGCTATGGTCTGTCCCTGGAGGGACTGCTTTTATTAGTGGACTATTTCTGGATACTTGTCAGATTCCACTACAGCAGCCCTTTAGTCACTTTTTATTAGCACACACTTTCAAAATGCCACAGTGTGCACGGTGTAGCGTTTGCGCTCGCCCATATTTTTCGGTGTGCCCCGGCAGAGCCGGCGGGTGGCTGTGATATGTAACGCCCTTTTGGAGCGTCCACTGATTCCGTCAGTAATGTCTGAGTCACTTCTCCGCCACCGTGGCAGTGTGATCGGTGATTCAGTGCCGACTCGCAGGTCTTTCCTGCAATTTGTTCAGCTACAGACTCAGGCTGGATAAAGGGATGTAGTGTCTGAGCCCCGGTCCTTATAGGTGAGCCAAAGTGAGAATATGGTTTCTGTGAGCCAGATGGCTGTGACACCCATTATAGCACAGGGTCAACACAGCATAATGATGAGAAAGGCTTCCTTGGAGGAAATGCGACACAGAGCAGGGTTGCTGCAGTGTAACTCAGTCACAAGTTACATTTGAAAAGGGAGGGGAAAAAAGTGCTATATATGGAAGCTCTATAACTATATAGTGTGCATCTAGGTGTAATGGTGTATGAATAAAAGACAGGTATAAAGCAGCCAGAGGTCATTTTTTTAAAATTACAGCAGATCTGAAAAAAATAGCATATGGTTCCAAGAATTTTTCAGCTCGGTTCATCATGTTTGTAGTGAGCGCAGTTTTAAGCGGCTCCATTGCACTACACTATTACATCAGTTCACTTTTGTATAAACTACTGTAAAGTAGTATTTCCTTCAAGGACAGTGCTGCTTCGCTGAGGTCATTAATCAACCCTGGCTCCAGGTGACTGGACTGTGCCTCAAGAGCAGCTGGGATACAGTCTCACAGTGTTGCTCTACACGCACTGCCAGTCATACAGCGCTCTCTGCACACACACACACACACACGGTTGCTCGCACATTCTACAATTCCTCTAAAGTCTTCCTGCAGACGCCCCCAGTCTTAGTGTCTTGATGATTACAAAAGACAGTAGTGTCAACATCACAGTAGATCAGAGTGCCAGACATCCAGGGGGCGGGAATATTTGGATTCGAGTAGAATTCATACTAAATGCCAGAGAGGATACTCTTGACAAAGGATTTTGTCAAGCTCCGCCCATGAATAACACACA